AACTGTTCACCTATAGTGACAAGAGCTGCAGCCCCTCGGCTGTGAGTCCTTGGCCCGGACCCCAAACCTCCCCGGCTCGCATCCCAAAGCTGGGCCGTTTCAGCCTAGACACCGCCCCCCACGTCCCCCAGCAGGGAATGGGTGGGGTGACCCCGCCCCACCATAGCTGATCTGCTCCCACCATGGCCCCCCAGGAGTTCCTGCGGATGATGGGGGGTGAGCGTGATGCCCCCGCCCTCTGCCGCCTCCTGGAGCTGCTGGCCGAGGGTCACCGGCTGCCGGCGCCGCCCGCCTGCCCTGCCAAGGTGAGCACAGGTGGTGACCTGGATAGGGGACTGTCTTGTTGTGGGCTGGCCTGGAGCAGTGGGGTGGCGGGGGCAGTGGGGTGGTGGGGGCAGTGGGGTGGCGGGGGCAGTGGGGTGGTGGGGGCAGTGGGGTGGCGGGGGCAGTGGGGTGGCGGGGGCAGTGGGGTGGTGGGGGCAGTGGGGTGGTGGGGGCAGTGGGCTGGCGGGGGCAGTGGTGTGGCTGAGGGCAGTGGGGTGTTGGGGGGCAGTGGGCTGGCGGGGGGCAGTGGGCTGGTGGAAGGAATGGACTGATGAAGGGTGAGGTTTGGCCTGGCGTTGGCCAAGGGCAGCGGGAGGGGGCGTGGCCTGTGTTATCGTTTTATGGTTCATGACCATGATCTTCATGGGTGGCCATTAGTGTTTAACCATGGTCATGAGGCCTCAAACATTGACTCAATGCCAAACGGGCCAGGCCCTGGCCCCGGGGTGAAGGGTGAGGATCCTGGGTCCCAGTCACCAGCTGGCAAAGGCAGTTCCTGGAAGGAGATGCTGGGCACAGGCGGCCAAGTGGCAGAGCGCAGCAGGTGCCATGGCTGCAGTAGCAGAGAGGGGGTGGGGGAAGACAGCAGTCCAGTGAGGGGTCCTGTCTCTCTGCTCCCCCCAACAGGTCCATGACCTCATGAAGGTCTGCTGGGCTCCCAGCCCCGAGGACCGGCCGACCTTCAGTGCTCTGGGCCCCCAGCTGGACGCGCTGTGGAGCGGAAGCCGAGGCTGACGGGCCATGAGGCCTGTGACGGCCCTCACCACCCCAGAGGCCTCCTGTGGAGACCCTGACGTTGCCCTTGGTGCTGGTGGGGGAGAGGGGCAGCCTTGGGGTCTTTCTCCTCCTCCATCTGTGGCCCAGAGCCCTAGGGTGCCCAGAGGGGCTGTTGGAATGACAAGAGTGCAGCCCCCTTCTGCGTCTAGTTGGAGGAGCCTGGTTAGAAGTTGGGTTTCGGTGGAGTAAAGCCACCTCCCCCAACACACACACATGCTGGCATCCCATATAAGCACAGGTTCAAGTCCCGGCTGCTCCACTTCCCATCCGGCTCCCTGACATGGGAGACCCAGTGGCACTCCGGGCTCCTGTCTCTCCTCTCTGTAACCTTGTCTTTCAAATCAATAATAAAACATCCCTTCCCCCACTAAAAAAATAAGTCATGTGTGGCCAGAAGCCGTATGTTTGTGGGGCTGATGTCACGGGATGCTGGGGGCCGGGGTCAGGGGTCCTGGGAGGCCAGAGTTGGGGTCTACTGGGGGGTCGGTGTTGGGGGACACTGTGGACTGGTGTTGGGGGGCACTGGGGGGGCTGGTGTCAGGTGACACCATGGACTAGTGTCAGGCGACACTGGGGGGCTGGTGTCGGGCCACACTGGGGGTAGATGGCCAGCCCTCTGCATCTCACATTGTTTCCCACCCACCTAAGGGCACAGCCCCTCCCATGGCCCCTTGTCCTCTGGGAACCTGCTGGGAGATTTTTGTCCAGCAGTTCAGGGAGGGGAAGATGCACCTGGCTGAGGGATCCGCATGGAGCGGGGTGAGGTGACTCAGAGGCCAGAGGCCACAGTCCTGACCACAGCCCCACTTCCCGGTCTGGCCTCAGTGTTGGCCCCTGGGAAATGGGCCCAGCTGGCCAGGGTGGTGTGTGTGTGTGTGTGTGTGTGTGTGTGTGTGTGTGTGTGTGTGTGTGTGTGTGTGTGTGTGATGGGGTATCCCCTCCCATTTGCCACTAGGCTGAAGGTGTTCACCAGGATGGAGGCGAACTCGTTGCATGAACAAAGAACCTGGGTGGGGGCGCCGTGCACAGAGTGTGGGAACCAGGCAGCTAGCAGGATGTGGCCAAGGCTGTGGCGGGGCAGAGGCCTCTGTGGGGTGGGTGGGGGCGGGGAGGGACAGCTGTGGGGGGAGGGGGCCTTGGCCCGCGACCTGAAGAACAGCCCCAGCTGTGGACCTTGGCTTTCCCTCCGAGGGGCTGATGGGGGAGGCACTTTGTAGGTAGAAAGAGCAGGCTGTTCCCCGGTGGCAGCTGGGGGGCAGGGCTGGGTGTCAGGGGGCAAGGCTGTGTGTGTGGGGGTGGGGGGCAGGGGCTGGGGAGCAGGGGGCTGTGTGTGGGGGGGGGTGGGGGGCAAGGGGCTGTGTGTGTGGAGCAGGGGGCTGTGTGTGTGGAGCAGGGGGCTGTGTGTGTGGGGTGGGGGGCAGGGCTGGGTGTGGGGTGGGGGGCAGGGGGCTGTGTGTGTGGGGTGAGGGCAGGGGGCTGTGTGTGTGGGGTGGGGCAGGGGGCTGTGTGTGTGGGGTGGGGCAGGGGGCTGTGTGTGTGGGGTGGGGCAGGGGGCTGTGTGTGTGGGGTGGGGCAGGGGGCTGTGTGTGTGGGGTGGGGGGCAGGGCTGGGTGTGTGGGGTGGGGGCAGGGGCTGCCAGGAGCCCAGCCGAAGGCTGCATCCTAGCACTGCGGCAAGGAAATGGAGGTGACAGAGTCCCAGCTCTCTCAATCTCCAAGAAGCCCTGGCTTTGGGGGGGGGGGAAGGGGGCACTGCTCTGGGGTTAAGCAAGACCCACACATCCTACCAAGCTCTCTCCAGCTGCCCTGAGGTGCCCCCCACTTTGGTGGGAGCCCAAGGCCTCCTGGGCATGCAGCAGGCCCCACCCACCCCTAGCAGGTGAGTTCCCTGCCTTTGGGGGCCTTCCAGCCCACCGAGGGGTTCTCCTGGGCCTTGGGGCCGCCTGGGTGCCCCTCTCCACATCTTTCCCCCAGGCCACATTACAAATTTCTCTTAGATTGCCTCTTTGAAGTGATTTGAATGGCTGGATGGCTCAACTGACTAATTACCTGCCTGTGAGTGCCGGCTCCCATATGGCTGCTGGTTCAAGTCCCAGCTGCCCCACTTCCCATCCAGCTCCCCTCCTGTGGCCTGGGAAAGCAGTGGAGGACAGCCTAGAGCCTCGGGACCCTGCACCTGCGTGGGAGACCTGGGAGAGGCTCCTGGCTCCTGGCGTCAGATCGGCTCAGCTCTGGCTGTTGTGGCTGCTTGGGGAGTGAAGCATTGGATGGAAGATCTTCCTCTCTGTCTCCCTCTCTTTGTAAATCTGCCTTTCCAATAAAAACAACTCTTTAAAAGAAGGAATGATTGTTATAATAAATTTATTTTTGCTGTTTACATAGCTGAGCGGTATGCATGTAGATCGCTGATCAGGGTGGGAGGGTCAGGAATGGGGGAATGGACGCGACAACCACCTCCGATGTCTTGCTTTTCTCTGGGAAAGCGGGGAGTGAAGGGGCGAGGGCCGCTCCCAGCAGCCCAACCACAGCAGTGCCCAGGGACGGGGAGCGGCCGCCCATGTCATCGCAGGGTCCCCGCTGAGGCGCGCTCCGAGGGTTGTGGCTTAAGTGGTTTGATAATTCTGAAGATGTTGTTGGTTTCATTGCTGCAAGGATGAGGGGGTCCTTCCAAGGTCCACTGGCTGCTAGAGTCCACCTTAGAGTCTCCGCTTACCCAGACACTAGCTGTCAGAGCTTGGCTGGGACAGCTGGATGCTGGGGGAGAGCTGGCCGATTTGTCCTGCCCTCTTTCTTCTGCGGTGGTACCAGCTGTCCTGTGCAGGCCCCAGTGGGCTGCCATCTCTTGCAGGTGGATCTGGGCGTGCCGGGCACTGCTCCATCGTAGCCACTGAGGAGGCCCAGCTCTGACACACGCACTCCGCGACAGCCCACAGATCCTGCCATGCTCCCCATGGTTGGAGTTGCGAGTCTAGTGGCCCAGCAGGGGCGCTCCCGCAGTTCTGCTGGGCTTGCCACCGATTCCGGAATCTTACGTGTCTTGGAGGGTGCTGAGGTGCAGGCTGGCATGGATCACTTCACCTTGGCATCCACCAGCGGGTGCTGCCGCCTGGCCCGTCCTGGTCTGCCGCCAGTTCCAGCGCATGCTGGAGGGTGCTACAGGCTAGTCTAGCCTGGCCTCTTCCCAATTCCAGCACCCATGAGTGGTGGTGAGTTCCAGGGTCATGGCTAGCTCAGCCCATCAGTCACCCCCAGCCCCTGAGCAAGCCGGCTTGTATGGCAGTCCCATTGGGGACGAGACCACGATTCTCCCACAGGACCTGCTCCCAGACCTGGTTCTCTCACGGTGGCTAGTGTCCCGGCCCGGCCTGACATCGTCCACCCCCTGCCCCAAAACTCACTGGTGGGTACTGTGTTCGAGCCATGCTGGGTATTCCCCCCAGCCATGGCTTGTGTGTGTGTCAGTACATGGTGCTTGAAACCAACAAGCCCAGCTCTGCTCGCCCATGTGGGTGGGTGTATCGGCTTGGGCATGAAAGGTCCTCCAGCGTCCCTTCTCCAGCCACAGGATCCCAGCCGTTCTTTGCCTTCAAGTGCGGTAGCTGGCTGGTGGAAGTCTTCAGAAGTCACTGTTCACCTGTCACATTCTCGCTTAGCAGTCCTTCCTCCTGCACATCCCCAGCCCCGCCTCCCCGAGCAATCCACAGCCCCGTGCCCAAGCCCCGTCCCCCGGCCGTTGTGCCATGGCAGCCTGGGGCCCTGACTGCCTCCCCAGGGCCCATGCGTGCCCGTGCGCTCGCTGGACCCCTCTCAGCTGGCTTGCCAGTGTCTGCCCCTCACATACCTTTTAAAATAAAATCCAATAGGCAGCTGTGTTAGCACACTGGTATAGCTTACACAGACTTGGCATGAACCAGGCCCAGTATGCCCAGCAGCTCCTGGCTCAGTGCTCCAGCTGGGTCAGGGGCAGGTGGTGGGGAGGGGGCGGGCCTGCCCCAGACCCTGGCCTCAGCCTTGACTTTTTTTCCTGGAATGCTGCGTGCCTGAGCCAAGGCCTCCAGCTGGGCGGTCTGGGCGCTATAAGGGGGTGTCCCGGGGGGCCCGGCTGTAGCACACCTCACCTCTCGCCACCATGGACCCCTGCCTGCCGGTCTGGGTGCTGTGGCTGCTGCTGCTGCTGCCGCTGCCCACTCCCGGGCTGGCACTGAGTCCCGCACCAGCCCCTGCCACGTCGGAGAAGCTGTGCGGCCACCAGTTGCTGCGTGCCCTGGTGCGTGCATGCGGGGGCCCGAGCTGGTCCCCCGAAATCGGCAGGGACATGGCCACCGGCGGAGACCGTGAGTAGTGCGGGGGGCTACCGGGAACGCGGGGACCGCGCCTTGGGAACGCCCGGGGTCTGCGAGCGGAGGCGTGGCGGCAGGTGCAGGGGAGGCGAACATCTTACAGACCGGGGCATCTGCTAACCTGGGCGAGGCCGTGCAAGGTGCGGGGACCGAGTGCATGTGTGTGTCACCTCCACGGGCCCTTCTCTGCCCGTCTGGGGAACTTGGCTGGTTCTCCCACCTGCGGGTAGAGCTGGCAGCTCCGGGTGCAGGGCGAGGCGCAGGTGGCGTGCGAGGGGCGAGCCTTCGGTGTCTGTATACAGCAGGTCTGTATACAGCAGGTGCTGTGAGCGCGCACAGCGACCGCCACTGAACTCTCCTCTGTCCCCAGGTGAGATGGCGCAGTGGCTACAGGGACAACGCCTCATCCTCGGGCTGCTGGCGGACCAGGAACCGGCGCAGCCCGCGCTCGAGGCCTCCCGCAGCCGCCGCGAGACCAACCCCGCACGACGGTGCTGTCTTTACGGCTGTACCCTGCAGGATCTGCTGCTGATGTGTCCCCACTGACGCCTCCTGGGGTGCAGGCTGGGGGCGGGGTGTGGCAGCGCAAAGTGCAGATCCACCGGTGTTGGTTTCCTCCCGGATCGGGGAGCTCATCACCTCAGCCCTCACCTGTGGAGATGGCTGGGAGAACTGCCACCCTAAGATGCCTGACCACCCCTGCCCCGTCTCCTCAAGGAGTTGCTGGCAACCTTCCCTACCCCTTGCCATTACTAATAAATGACCTGAAGCATTTTCTTCTCGTTGCTCTCCATGAAGGGACAAGCCATGGGGAGGAAGCCCTGGTGAGGGGTGTGTGTGTGTGTGTGTGTGTGTGTGTGCACCCCAGCAGCCACACCCCTGCCAGGAACTTGAGTGTCAGCTAGATGGCACATGGCCAAGGTCTTCGTCAGGTGGGACCGGCCCGGAGCAGCGTCTGAGCTCAGGGCTTCCTGAGGCTCCTGGAGATGTGGGGTCCCTCTCACTGAACCCCCAGAGGCTGTCACGGTAGCTCAGCAGACTAATCTTCTGCCTTGGGGCACCGGTTCGAGTCCCGGCTGCTCCACTTCCCTTCTAGCTCCCTGTTTGTGGCCTGGGAAAGCAGTGGAGGATGGCTCAAAGCTCCCAGGGAGAGAAGCTGCCTGGGCCCCTTCTCTAGCCCCTGGGGTCTGTGCCACTTGCCTCTGGATGTGTCCCCTTTGTCGTCACCTCAATTCCATCAGCCTTCACATTTCGGGACCCCCATCTCTGACTACATCTGGGGCTCTAGGCTCATAGGACTGACTGGTTGGCCTATCCCACAGCAACGGGGAGCCACGGCAGGTGTGGAAACAGCGGCAGACTGAGGTCCCACATCCGGGTCGGCTCGTCCCTTCACCCTGGAGACAACCTCTTCGCCTCCCTGCTTCCAGAATTTCCACAGGAGTCGACAAAGCTTCTAGAAGCTTAAAATTCAATCCTATCATTTTCTCACTACCTCCACCCCCGCCCCCTGGTCAGCCAGACCTTCAAATAAATCCTGGCTAAGCTCACCTCCTCGCCCCACCCCAGGGCCTTGGCACCTGCCGCGTCCATCAGCTCATGTTCATCTGCGTCACTCCTGGTCCTGTGGCCACACACAGTCCTCCCTCCCCTCCGAGCCTGTCCTGCTCCCTCAGCCCTGCCCGGAGGAGGGAGCGGAAGCCAGGGCGGGCATGCAGCACACAGCAGGTGTACGCCAAGGCAGAGGGTGGCCCGTGAGGGCATTGGGACCCGGCCGGGGCTGCCTGCGTCCCACCTGCACCTGGGCTGGAAGCCTGGCCCTTGCAGCTCCCTGTGCGGGCGTGCACCCTGGGGAGGCAGCAGGCATGGATGGGTCCAATGTTGGGGTCCCTGCAGCCCACGTAGGGGTGCATCAGAGGAGTTCCCCAGCTCCTGGCCAGGCTGTCATGCGCCTGTGGGCGAGTGCACCAGCAGGTGGCAGCACTCACTTGCCCATTTCAAATCAACTTTGTGGTGTGTGTGTGTGTGTGTGTGGTGGGGTGTGGACCGGCTTGTAACGGGGCCCAGCTAGGCCCTGCCTCACCCCCCTGAGCCTTTTCCGTTTCTAGCTGGTTGCGGAGCGTGAAATTTTAACAGCCTGCTCTCTGGAAACGCAACCCCAGGTCTTCACAAAATACACTTTATTCCCTGAGTGTTTGCTTTCACGCACGCACACACACACACACCCTGGCACTTCCAGCCCTGCCCGTGACACCTGCCTGCCCGTGGCTGGGGGTCCTGCCCGCCCTGTCACACACACACTGCCCCCTCCACCACGTGGACACTGCCCGCACCCCTGCTTCTCTGAGCATGCCTATGCTGAACTTGGGGGGGTACTGTGGCCAGGGACCACGTCCCACCAGTAACTCCCCGCAGCAGCCCCATCCGTGTTAAAGGGACCGCTGCCTCCTGGCCCCACGATGTGCAAACTACAACAGCACCTGTCCCCTCAATCCTCTCCTATCTGGCCACAGCAAGGGGCTGCCCACTGCTTGTGTGTGGGGGTAGGGGTGGGGGCTAGGGTGAAACAAAAGCTGAGAAAGAAATCTCTTGAGTCCCAGCCGGCAATGAAGGGAGACAGACACTTCCTCCCCTCACACACACACCTCCTCCAGCCTGAGAAGACCAAGTGGGTTTTGAAGAGTGGGCCTTGAGGTATGCATAGGAGCTCACCCCCCATAGAGTCCCTCCTCTGGGGTCGGAAGCAGCGGATCTGAGCTTCGCCTCACCCCATGGGCGGGGGGGAGAAGAGGCAGACGTTTCTACCAGCACTGCCTGCGCCCACAGGGACAGCTGGGCATGTCAGGCACGTGTGGCAGAGCGGGTCAGTAGACCTGCCTGCGCTGGCCGCAGACCAGGTCGGGCTGGTTGAGCGCCTCCCACATGAGCAGCAGCTCGTAGGGCAGGAAGCGATGCACCAGCAGCAGCTCGCGGTAGAAGCAGGGGTCGAAGGAGGACATGCTGGCCGAGGGCGCGTGCACGCCGCTGGTGCGCACGCCGCTGTGCGCCGCCGGCTTGAGGCCCTCGCGCTCCAGGCACATGCCCAGGAACACGTCGTCGATGGGGAAGAGCTGGAGCGCGGGCGCGGCGCGGCGCAGGGCGGCGGCGGTGAAGCGGGACAGCAGGAAGCCGCCGCCGCCGCAGTAGGGCGGGTAGCGGTCCCCGGCCATGACCAGCTTGGGCACGTAGTATTTGCTCCCGGACGCGCGGATGGGGCCCACGTTCTGGATGAGCTGCCCCACGAAGAGATGGTGGTCGGGCTGCTGGCTCTGCAGGTAGGCCACCATGTTGTCGGTGTGCGCAAACACGTCGTCGTCGCCGTTGAGCACGAAGCTGGCGTTGGTGCACCTGCTGGTCTGCCATTCCAGGAACAGCACCTGCGCGGGGCAGAGGAGCGAGCGGGGTGCACCCGCGTGAGGGCTGCGGGTCCCCGCCATCGGACAAGCCCCCCACTCCACCAGCCGGGTGGACCCCCGCTCTGGGATGCAGGGCAAAGATTGCCTGGGTGACCAGTAGCCTCTTTGTGCGGCTCAGTTCCCAGCCCTTTTTAAAAGGTGTATTCATTCAATAGAAAGTCAGAATTAACATCGAGAGAGATTTTCCATGCGCTGGTTCACTCCCCACATGGCCCCGACAGCCAGAGCTGAGCCAGTTTGCTTCTCTCCCATGGGTGGGTGGGCAGGGGGGCCCGAGCTGTGGCTTAGTGGGTAAAGGACTGAGCAGCAACGCTGGCATTCCACACTGGATGCGGTAGCCCCATACCAGCTCTGGTCCCAGCTCCCTGCTCATACATACAACTGGTGATGGATAGAGTGCTTGGGTGCCCGCTGCCCACAGGGGAGACCCAGCTGGAACTCCTGGCTCCTGGGGACTGGCCCTGTCCTGGCTCTGGCAGGCATTTGAGGAAGGAACCAGCAGACAGGAAGTTGGGGTTGGTCTCGCTCTCTCTAAAGCTGTCTAAATTCTAAATTTCTTTATGGCCTTGATTGAGTGTACCAACATCTATTTTGGGCACGAGGAAGGCGGTGGGGCTGGCAGCCAGGTGGCACCCCACCCTCCTAAGCGGAACAGAAGGAAAGCCGAGCCATGCCAAGGTGGGGCCCTGTCACTGCCAAGGTGAGCTGGATGCCAGGTGCTGGGCCAGCCTGCCATAAACCACTTCATCTGGCAGGGCTTGGCTAGCACATCAGAATGTCCCAGCCGGCTGCGGCCTCCGGCTCCCTCCCTCTGCACATCCCGCTGAGGTGGCAAGTGGCAGTAATGGTGCTTGAGTTCATACTGTCTACGTGGGAAACCTGGATGGAGCGGGCACCCATAGTCCAAGACCAGCTGCTGTACGCCCTGCCTGTGTCTCGGATGCATCATGATATCAAAAAAATGACCACTCTGGGACTGGCCCCATGGCAGAGCAGGCAACGACACCAGCATCCCATATGGTGTTGGTTCACGTCCGGACTGCTCCACTTCCCACCCAGCTTCCTGCCTGTGACCTGGGAAAGCAGTGGAGGACGGCCCACAGCCTTGGGACCCTGCACCCGCGTGGGAGACCTGGGAGAAGCTCCTGGCTCCTGGCTGTAGATTGGCTCAGCTCTCAGCTGTAGCAGCCACTTGGGCGGGGAGGTGAACCATTGGATGTAACATCTGTCTGTCTCTTCTTTTTGCCCTGTAGCTCTACCCTTCAAATATAAAGAAATCTTTAAAAAAAAAAAAATAGAGAAAACCCAATGTTTAGAGCCAGAGCCAGTGGTGGCAAACTTCTACCCATTTCACAGATGAGAAAAATGAGGGACAGGGCAGAGGAGGAGAAAAGAGCTCCTGGGATGTTCTCCAGCAAGGGGAGGTGGAGGGGGCTGACCCCGAGGCTGGCCAGGGTCCCCTGAGGGTCATGTGCGGGGGTACCTCGCCCCCTCCCCTCCCTTCCTCTGCCCCCTCCCGCGCACCTGCTTCAGCGTGAGGTTGAAGAAGGTATCGTGAAAGTCCCACTGCAGGATGTCGCCGTGGGTCTCTGCCTCCAGGGCCAGCAGCCGGTTCACCTTGCGGGCCTCGTGCGGGCTGGCGGAGGTGCCCACCAGGAAGATGAGGCGCAGCTGGGCGCCCCGCACCAGCCGCTCGCGCCCCCACGTGCGGCGCACCAGCTCGCGGCGCTCGTAGTTGCCGGGCGAGGACTTGATGGCCAGCAGCAGGAAGACGGGCTGTGCGCACTTGCTGGCCGGCGTGTCCTGCAGCAGCCGGAAGGTGCGGCAATGGCGGTACAGCAGGAAGTTGCGCACTTGCGCCGGCTGCGACTCCCAGTCCGGGTGCGTGGTCATGGACGTGTTGGCAGGACACGGTGGGACAGGCCGGGGCCGAGCCCGGGTGCTGGCCGGTGCTGTGGGCCAGGCCTCGCGTGCGGAGGGCTGCTCGGCGGCTGGACAGGTGGACTGCTTGCTGTGCAGGCTCACCATCACCAGCAGGGTGATGCAGCCCAGTACGACCAGCACCAGGCCCCAGTCGGGCCGCAGGGCCCGGGGCCACCTCATCCCCCTCTTGCCAAGTCGGCCTGGCTCAGGGGATCCTTGGAACTGCTCCTGCGGTTGAGGGGAGTGGGGGACAAGGAACACCCAATCAGTGTGGACCCCAGACCTGAATTTGACAGTTACGGAAAAATGCCCTTGGTCTTTTGCCTTCAAGCTGCTAACCCAGGGGCCCCTGTGAGTATATCAGACAGAACAAACTTGGAAAACTCCCATTTGTCCCTCACAAGGTCCTGGTGCAGCAGCCTTGTGGCTAAAGTCCTCACTTTGCAAGTGCTAGCATCCCATATGGGCACTGGTTTGTATCCTGGCTACTCCGCTTCCCACCCAGCTCCCTGCCTGTGGCCTGGGAAAGCAGTGGAGGACGGCCCACAGCCTCGGGACCCTGCACCTGCGTGGGAGACCCGGAAGAAGCTCTTGCCTCCTGGCTTTGGATCAGCTCAGCTCCGGCTGCTGTGGCCACTTGGGGAGTGAACCAGCATATGGAATGTCTTTCACTCTGTCTCTCCTCCTCTCTGTAAATATGACTTTCCAATAAAAATAAATAAATCTTTAAACACACACACACATGAAAACTAGCTCTCTGGCTCATTCTCCTTAGAGTGGTCCATCCCCACCTGACCCTATGCATGCAGGGACCCGGGCATCCCTGGACAGCCCCCATGTCCTGAGTGCTGGGCTTCAGAGCCCTGAAGTGAAAATCCTGGTAAGCATGAATACCCTAGGCTAGACTCCAGGCAGGACTTCCCATGGCAGCCAACACTCACTACAAAACAAATGCCACAGTCCCTGAGGGTTCCATGGTGGCAGCCAGGCAGGGGCCAGCCTCCTGTCTCCAGTGGAGCTTGCACGCTACGGTTGGAGTTGGGGGAGCCAGGCCCCTTTCCCCGATGCTCCTGGCCAGCTGCTGGACACTCGGCCCCTCACCAGACCTTAAATCCCACACCTCCAGGTCTTGCTCTGCCCTTTATCTGCAGGTCCCCAGCACAGTGCATGACACACGGTAAGATGACACAGGTGGAACGGGGGACAGAAGGCTGGGGTCCCGTTGTCCACGAGTGTGGCATGTCGGCTTTCGGTGACCGATCAGCCATGTGCCGTGGTTGTGTGCCGGACACTTCCTGGGAAGCTGGGGACCTGGCAGCCGTCACCAGGAGCCCCGTACACAAACCATGCAGAGAATAAACCATGGCTAAACAAACAACAGGATGGAGGAACTAGGGAGAAAAAGAAAGAGGAGAGAGAGAATATGTGTGTGTGTGTGTGTGTGTGTGCACCCTCAGCTGGGTGTGCCCCTCCTGGGGCCCTGGCCAGCCCTGGTCCCCTCAACAGCAGAGAATCAGAGAAGCGTTTGTTGGGGACAGGGGTCACTGGCAAATCTGGTTTTCACACTCCAGGAGGTGGGTGTGGTGGCCAGGTGACATTTGAGCTGAGATCAACCTGTCTTCCTCTGAAAGACAGTGACAGGTGCAGAGGGGAGGAGGGGTGAAGAGGAGAGGAAGGGGCGAGGAGGGAGGGGAAGGGGCTAGCAGAGAGGGGAAGGGGCGAGGAGGGAGGGGAAGGGGTGAGGAGGGAGGGGAAGGGGCGGGGAGGGAGGGGAAGGGGCGAGGAGGGAGGGGGAGGGATGAGGGGAAAGGGTAAGGGGAGAGGGGAAGGGGCGAGGAGGGAGGGGAGAGGGCTAGCAGAGAGGGGAAGGGGCGAGAAGGGAGGGGAAGGGGTGAGGAGGGAGGGGAAGGGGCGGGGAGGGAGGGGAAGGGGCGAGGAGGGAGGGGAAGGGGCGGGGAGGGAGGGGAAGGGGCGAGGAGGGAGGGGAAGGGGCTAGCAGAGAGGGGAAGGGGCGAGGGGAGAGGGGAAGGGGCGAGGAGGGAGGGGAAGGGGCGAGGAGGGAGGGGAAGGGGCGGGGAGGGAGGGGAAGGGGCGGGGAGGGAGGGGAAAGGGCGGGGAGGGAGGGGAAGGGGCGGGGAGGGAGGGGAAGGGGCGGGGAGGGAGGGGAAGGGGTGAGGAGCGACGTGCCCACCCTCTCACTCCGTCCCCACACAGCCAGGGTGCTGGAGTCGCATCCCGGGCTGAGCTGGCTTCGCAGGTGGATGGTCCCTCAGGAGCCGCCATCGCTGCCCCATCTCCCAAGGGGACAAAGTGTGGCTGACGCAGAGTGTGTTGGCTGTGTGCGTGCGTGTCCTGGGGAGACCCAGCCAGGTGGGAAAGTGAGTTGTCGGTGCCACAGTGGGAAGGAACTTGTTCCCGGAACAGCCAGTGGGGTGGGGTGGGGAGGGCTGGGGCAGGAAAGGTCAGGTCAGGGTTTAAGTCAAGTCCAGACCTCTGGGTTTCACCCCTTGCCTGGCCCAGAGACCCATGCCCTCACTTCCTCTTGTGCTCCTCACGCCTCAGCGGTGCTAATCCAGGCTCTGCTTGGAATGACACTGGAATCAAAGGGGTGGGGCTGGGCTGCTTTGTGGGTTAAAACACTGTCTGAAGTACTGGGATCCCTTCTGTGTGCTGATTTATGTCCCGACTGCCCCACTTCCCACCCAGCTCCCTGCCTGTGGCCTGGGAAAGCAGTGGAGGACGGCCCACAGCCTGGGGACCCTGCACCCGCGTGGGAGACCCGGAAGAGGCTCCTGGCTCCTGGCTTCAGCTCAGCTCCAACCTTTGTGACCATTTGGGGAGTGAACAAGCAATTCAAGATCTTTCTGTCTCTTCAATAAAATTTCCACGTATATAAAACAAAGGTTAGAGCGCTGACTGCAGGGTCCGTGCCTGCTTTACACTGCCTGCCTCCCCGGCCTCAGAAACTTCCAGAATCTAGCACAAGGAAGTCCCTCACCAGCCAGTGTGGCACCTGCTGGTTCATCCCAGGAGGGCCAAAGGGCCACTGGGGGGCCCCCCGCACAAGCCTGACCCACCCCAGGAGGGCACAAAGGTCCTCTTGGGGAACCACACAAGCCCGCACTCTCCTGGGGGCTGGCCAGCATGCCATGAGTGCCTGCTGTGTGCACAGGACCCCTCCCCAAAGATGAACAGATGTGACAGAGGGAGGAGGCGATTCCAGTGTCGGAAAAATGGGCAGAGCCACGGGAGGTTTGTGGGGAGCCCCCAAGCTGGGAAGAGGGGGTGCCGAGGTAGGGGGCTGCAGCTCCGGGTGTGCTTGGGGTGGCTGTAGCTGACACCCATGGGGTGTGCCACCACAGCCGGAGATGGAAGTGGTTGGAGGGGCGTGGCCATGAGGTTGGGGTTTGATGCCTAGCCATGGGGCCTTGGCTTACACAGCACTCACTGCTCAGGTTGAGGGGCACTAGCGAGCCACCGAGGGTCTGTGGGCAGGGGTGCCATCCGAGACTCCGATGCTCTGGATAAACTCCCTGTCCACATGGGACAAGGTGTAGACCCGATAGGAGGCTGGGAGCAAGGCAGAGTGAGCTTATCCAGGGGTGCCAAGGCTCTCCGTGGGGAAGATGGAGGGAGGCTTTATGCCCGCAGGAGAATGAAGATGGAGAGGTGGGGTTTGAGGTGGAGCCCTGCCCAGCGTGTGTCCCACCCCCGGGGGTCCTGCGCCAATGCCAGCCAGGCTGACCCTGGGAGCAGGAGGCAGCCCAGACTATTGCCCAGGGCTGTTTATCCTGTGCACGGGCCAGGAGCCGACGTCCTGGTGTGGACAACTGCCTCCTTTCGCTGGCGAGGTTTGGCGGTGACACGTCTCAACCTCTATTGTCCCCCCACCCGTCCCCGCTTCTGCTCCTCACACGTGGCCTCGGGGCCTTGGCACCTGCCGCTCCTCCGTCTGGGATGCCCGGCTGTCTTTCCGACACTTCTCTGTCCGCATCCCACACAGGAGTGCAGGGCGTGTGTCCTAGCAGCTCCATTTCTGATCTAGCTCCCTGTCAGCGGCACTTCAAATGGTGGCTTACCTTGTACCTTGTAGCACCGTGGGGCCCAACCCTTCTGCAATGAGCAAGCTACTAAAACCTCCCCAAGGCATGGTCACACTCGGCGTGGTAGCTTAGTGGCTGAAGTCCTTGCCTTGCACGTGCCAGGATATCATACGGGAGTTGGTTCTAATCTTGGCAGCTCCGCTTGCCACCCAGCTCCCTGCCTGTGGCCTGGGAAAGCAGTGGAGGACGGCCCAAAGCCTTGGGACCCTGCACCTGCGTAGGAGACCTGGAGGAAGTTCCTCACGGTGCCAGCGGTGCCAGCGTGGGATGCTGGCATGTTCAAAGCGAGGACTTTAGCCCCTAGGCCACCCACCGGGCCCTCTGTTTTTGTGATCTTAGAGAATCTGGGGGTGGGGGCAGGGATGCAGCAGGTGCCAGCCCTAGGGGGCGTGCCCTCAGGCAGGACATGCCCCCTTCCACTCCTGAGCAGCCCTTACCCTGCCAGGAAGCAGCTCTGGGTTGTGGGGAGCACAGGACTCCCCCAAAATGGGGTGGAAGTCAGGGGCCCCCTCCGCCCGGGTGGTTCTCACACAGAGCTACAGAGGAAGAAGAGGGATTCCTGTGCGGGTGGGGGGTCTGAGGCATGATTCTGCCAGCCCTGGGGGTCCCCTCACCCGTGGGCACCAGCCTGGGCTGCTCCAGTTTCACAGGGACAAGCCTCTGTTGCTTTCATTCATTGCTTTTTTTTTTTTTAACAGATGGACAAGGCAAGAATATCCAGTAAAGATAGTGCCTGTGGGAGAGACGTTAACTGCACAAATAAAAACCACCTCAACCAATCAATAATCATAAAAAAGAATCTGTGTGTGAGAGAGTCGCTTTTGAAGGTCAGCCTCCGCCTGGCACTGGGGTGAGGGGAGGGCGCCAGCACCCCGTGGGCCCTGGTGTCTGGGGTGCTCTCGTCATGACTCACCCTCCCCTCTGTCCCGCTGCAGGAACTGCCCGGAGCAGGTCCAAACCAGGAAGGACTTGGCGCTTGCCCGAGGCTGGGATGCACCAGCCAGCTGAGCGACAACAGTCCCAGAGGGGGAAACTGAGGCAGGCCATGCCCTGCTCTCTGCTACCCCACTTCCACCCCTCCTGCCCTCCAGGGTTGAGCTTCCTGGGATGGGTGTAACACGCGGAGAAGCTGAGGCACGGGACGGGGCGGGGTGGGAGGAGTACGTTGTGACATCTTGAGCACCCCATTACCTAAAACCAAGGCCAGGAAGGCAAGCCTCCCCCAGGAAGAGAGAAACTGCCTTGCACATCCTGCCTGTCTCAGGCCGCCTCCCTGGTCCTGCTGCTGCTGGGCCCCTGGCAGGAGCCGAGAGTCCTCCTCCAGCCCCTCCCGGGCTGACAGTCCTGCCCCAGGGTCTCCAGTGCCCCAGCCTGGCCACCAAGCAGCTGGCTTGGCTAGATTCCTCCACAGGCGCTGCCCCCACCCCTCCTCTGTGCTTCCCAGAACCCGTTGAGCACACCACAGCCTACTGGAAGGAAGGCAGGGCAAGGAGGAGGAAGGAGGTGTCAGGCTGGGCAAACACCACTTGGGTCAGGTGGGGGCCGCACCTGCACCCTGCAGCTGCAGCTCATCAGCTCAGCTCCCCAGGTGGGGACGGGGTTCCCAGGGCTGCTGGGAAACACGACCCCCTCCTGCATTGCTGGCCCACCTACACCTGGCTGGAACCCTCAGAGTGGCACTGCCTGGGAGTAGGGGCAGTGTAGCCAGCCAGCTTCCACGCTGAAGCAAGTGCAAAGGGGGAAATGAAAAACCAACAGAGGTGCCCGGAAACTGGCTACAGGAAGAGGTGGCTTTCACCCACCCTGAAGGACCCGGGACCCTGGGGTGCTGCCGGCTGGCTGCCCGCTCCCCTCCGCACCGCGCCCCGTGCATGCTTCCTGATAAGCTATTATCTCTTCCTCTGCCATGCCAGGGCTTCCTCGGCCACGTAGGGAAACTGAGGCACCAGCCCCGAACAGCACTCACACGAGACTCCCTCCACCCCCGCCAAGGGCTAGAAACGCACCCCATCTTGATTCAAACCGCCCCCAACCACCGTGGGGAGGAGAAGAAAGTGAGGCACAGCTGGAGACCACCTGCTGGCAGAGGAAGCTGCAGGCGGTGCAGGGCTGGGGTCGGTGGGGGTATGGGTAGGGGGTCAGGGCTCTGGCGCCCTAGAACGGGGACCCCCCCCCCTGCGACCGGCAGGGATTAGCCAGCGGCGGAGGAGATGGGGGACCCCTCCTCTCCCCAACACCAGCGCCATCCGCCTCCATCCGCCCCCGGGGCCGCATCCTGGAGTTGTGGGGTTCAGTTGGCGCGCGCGCGGTGTAGACGCTGGAGACCGGCGACACCCGCGCCCTCGCCTGCTTCCCTCCGTCTCCACCCTCTAGGGAGTGGGGGACCCCCTCCTCCCAACACTCACCCCCTCCCCAGAAGACGGTCCTTGCCTCTCGCAGCCGCAGCAGCGTCCCCCCAGCCGGCCGCGGGCCTCCGCCCTCCGCCGCCTCGCTCCTTCCTGCGCCCAAGTTTCCCGGTGGCCAAGGCGAAGTGGCCCCCGGCCCCGCCCCGGCTCCGCCCCCAGCCCGCAGGCCGCGCCCCAGCCCGGTCCAGCCCCTGTCCAGCCCCTATCCAGCCCGGTCCACCTCGCGCTGGACACTGCACCTCCTGGAGGCTGGCTCCGGTCCAGCAAGGACGCCCATGTGCGGTCCATGCAGCAAGGGATGGACCCCTAACCCGAATCCTAACCGGTGGGAATGAGGGGGCAGCACAGTGCACCCCGGAAACTCCTGAGGTTCCCCAGCCCATCCTCAGCCTGCAGGCCCCGCTCCAGTCCGGTCCAGCCTGGTCCAGCCCAGGTCCACCTCGCGCTGGACACCGCACCCCCTGGCGGCTGGCCCCGGCCCAGCAAGGACGTTCATGTGCGGTCCTCGCACGAGGGAGTGAGGGGCAGCACAGGGCACCCCAGGAGTCGCCGGGGTGCGGTCCTTGCACGAGGGAGCGAGGGGCAGCGCAGGGCACCCCAGGAGTCGCCCGGGGTGCGGTCCTCGCACGAGGGAGTGAGGGGCAGCACAGGGCACCCCAGGAGTCGCCGGGGTGCGGTCCTTGCACAAGGGAGCGAGGGGCAGCGCAGGGCACCCCACCGACTCCTGGGGTCCCCACCCCAACCCCAGCTGCCCAATGGAGGCCTTCTCTTAGGGAGGCCCCGGGATGGGGGCGCGGGCGGACAGGACAGAACAGGTGTCCACACCCACCGCATACCCCACCCCTTCCTGCCTTCCTGCCTGACAGGCCCTGATCTTCCAAGTTCCCCGGCGGGGGAGGAAGTGCGCCCTGGGGCGCGCCCAGTGGCCAGCCCTCTGAGCCTGGCTGCCAGGGGCTGCCAAGGGGCCCGACTGTGGTCCCGCGTGCTCCCACCCAGGCACACCCCCTGGGAGGCGGCCAGGGATGGCTCAGGTGCACCCACCTCTGCCCACCCACACGGGAGACCCAGCTGGAGCTGCGGGCTCCTGGTTTTAACCTGGTCCGGCTGTGGCTGGGGAAGGCATTCAGAAACAAAACCAGCGGATCGGAAGCTCAAACGTCAAAATAAAAATAGTAAACAATTAAAAAAAAAGAAGCAAATTTGTTATGCAAATTTCAACTCACCTTTTGAAAAAAATATTTTTATCAGATATGCGGAGAGAGCAGGAGAGACAGCGAGGAAAGATCTTCCATCTGATGATTCACTCCCCAAGTGGCTGCAACGGCCACAGCTGAGCCAATCTGAAGTCAGGAGCCAGAAGCCTCTTCCGGGTCTCCCACACAGGCGCAGGGTCCCAAGGCTTTGGGCCGTCCTCCACTGCTTTCCCAGGCCACAGACAGGGAGCTGGATGGGAAGTGGGGCAGTCGGGATACGAACCAGCGCCCATATGGGATGCTAGGGTGCTTGGAGGTGGCAGATTAGCCAATTGAGCTAGCAAGCCAGACTCACACACACACACTCAATTTTTATTAAAATGAGGCCATTTGAAATGATAACTCCCTGCCAACCAGTGGACTAAGGTTTGAGGACCCCATGGGCATCTCACCGCCCCCTCCCACCTGTGCGCGGCAGCTGAGCAGCGGCCCCGCCCAACCTAAGGGGAAGGGAGCTCTCGCTCCGGAGATGGGCTGAACTTCCGAAGTGCATGCCACACACGGACCGGTGCTCAGGATGGACACACCTGCAGGGCAGAACAAAACGGCTTTTGCACTTTTATAAGGAGTCCAACCTCGTTTGTGGCCCAAACAAGGCAATGAAAGCGGCCAGGAAGTACGACTTCCGGCCGGTTATCAGATTGGCAGGAACCCAAGAGGGCAACATGGAGGGAAGCTGGTGTCAAAAGACGCTGTGCCCCCTGGGCAGCAGGCCGGGAGAGGCATGGGCGGGGAGTGGTGCTGGGCCAGCCAAGGGCCTGGGCCCCTGAGTCACCCTGCCCCCAGCCCCTGCCCCCAGCACACACACACACACACCCCTGGCTGCCAAGGTCGGGGCACATACCACAGCATGGCACGCTGTCCTGTTTCCCTGTCATGGTGTCCACCCACTCCTCCCCCCAGAGCAGTACAGCACTGAACTTGGGGTCAGCAGGATGGTTCAGTGAGCTAATCCTCCACCTGCATGCATTGGGACCCCGCACCCGCGTGGGAGACCTTGAAGAGGCTCCTGGCTTCAGATCGGCTCAGCTCTGGCCGTTGCGGCCACTTGGGGAGTGAACCAGCAGATGGAAGATCTTTCTGTCTCTCCTCTCTGTAGATCTGCCTCTTCCATGTGAATAAATAAACGAAGACTCTGGGCTTGAGCAAGTCGAGTACTAGCAGAGCCGGGCTGAGCAGCTGAGGTGCCCAAGCCTGCACGTGTGAGGTGGTAGTCTGGCCGCAGCTGTGACCGAGCGCCAGTGCACACGCAGGGAGCTTTGCTGTCCCCTCTCATCATCACCCAAGGCCACCGAGCCAGGCCTGCCCCCTGCCCCTGGCCTGCTCCCTCCCTCTTGGGAGAACAGCGCAGGCAGAGCAGAGAGGTAGGGGGATTGAGGGGGTAAGATCCTGCTTCCCGACCCTGGGGCCCCGCACAGATGTGGGGTGAGCAGCTCAGGGTCCCGCATGCCTTCCGCCCGGGATCTCGGACCACCCTTTGCCCCACCCCTGCACACAGAGGCATCTGCCTTCGCCCCTTGTGGGTGCCCTTGGAAGTGCGTGACCCCTGCTGCAGACGGCTGGGGTGCAGGGGAGGGGTACAGGCACCTTACAGCCGGTGGCTTGAAGGAGCAGACATCTGTGCGCTGGACGCTCATCGCGAGCCAAGAACACCTGGTGCCTCGGAGCAACCTAGGCCCTCTGCTCTCCCTCCTTCCTGCGTCCCTCGGGTTGGGCTGTGAATGGCCGAGCCCCCCGACCCCCACCCCGGGGCTGTCTCCTCCTCCCTCCCTCAGCAGGCTGGCCGTGCTGCTCTTCCTCCGTGGCTTTCTTCAATAATTAACAGGAGAACCAACCCCGGCTGCTTAGTTCCACATAAGATGGTGATTAACAGGAGCCTGCATCCCCTGGCCTTTGTGACCAGCAGCTTTAGCCCCTGGCTTCTTGGGATGCAAAAGTCTGCGGGTTCTCAGACAGCGGTGGGCATCCTAAGAGCATGGAGGACGCCCGCAGCGGAGTTTGACAAAGCCATGTCTCCGTGAAGCACCTTCTCATTTTCCATTCCATCCATCCTGCCATGGCGAAGCCCAACCCAGGCCTTGGGCTGCCAAGAACATCGCTTGTGCTCCCAGCCTGGATATGGCAGGTGCACGAGGAACGCTCGTGAGGTTTGTCTCATCGTGTCCTCTCCGCGACCCCCCCAAAGCGGCCAGGCCTCTCTGCCAGGGATGCCTCCTTCTCCCCACCTCCCAATTCCCCCCCCCCCCCCCCCCGGCAAACTCCAACTCATGCCTCTAAACCCCACTTACAATACCCCCTCAGCAGGAAGTCCGTCCGTTCTCTAGGCTCGCCCAACCCCTCCTCTCTTCCACTCCAGCCCCGCCCGATCCTAGCCCCCCGGGGTTCTGCAGGTGTGTGTGTGTGGAGTGGGGTGTGCCCAGGACCGGAAGGCCTCTCTCCTACAAGGGCCAGGCTGGGCTGAGAGTGTGTGCCCAGGAGGCAAGCCAGGCAACGGTAAGGCCCACCCAGCTGAGGCGTCCCCGCCCTCCCCACCTCCACAGCTCTGGCACTTTCCTCTGCCTCCCCAGGCACAAGCCAACGTCCGCGCATTTTCATTTGAAAATAAAGTGTTTATTCAAACAGTCCAAGGCCGGCTCGCGCGTTGCAGCCGAGCCAGGAGGGACGTGGGAGGAGCTGGGGTGGGCAAGGGGCGGGAAGCGGGGTGGGCAGGGAGCACCAGGCTGCAGTGTGGGGCGTGGCCTCAGGAGCTCACCACATACATCCCTGCGGAGCGGAAAGCAGTGAGGGATACAAAGCAGAGGGAAACCTTTGCCTGCTCCCCAACTCCCCAACCCCTGCCTGGCTGTCCCTCACCCGAGTACCTGCACCACAGTCTTCCGGTAGGCCAGCCTTGTGCCCTCCTTCTGGACTCCACCTCCCCCCCCGGGGAGCGGGACCTGGCCCCTGGCCCTCACCTGCTCAGCCCAAGTCCCTGGCAAGTTTCCTCCCACCTGCCCGGGGCCCAGGGACAGACGGAGAGTAGGGAAGGGGAGGATGGGGGGAGCCTGGCTTCTGGATTCATCCTACCTGTGGCGAACCTCCTCTTGACGAGCGACATGCGGTAACTGCTGCCCACCAGCTGTACGTCCACGCCTGACAGCGTGGTCCCTTCGCTGGTGAACTGGGCTGCCACGGGGCTGGGTGTGCTGGGCCCGGACAGCGGCTCCCAGCTGGCCGAGAGGCGGCCGGAGCCTGGATGGGGTGGGGGCGGGAGGAAAGGAAGAGCATATAGTTTGCCTTAAGTTCCATTAGAGGACCTGGAGGGTGGTCAGCCCACGCAACGTGTCCCCAGGCCTTTGCACCTGCTGAACTTTCTTCCCCTCTCTGTAGCTGCATGCCCTAATCCACACTCCCTTCCTGGACTAGACAAACGCCCTCCATTCACGACCCCCAAGCTCACCCCCGGCCTCGGACACATCTGGAAGCTTCCACACGAGCCTCTTCTCTTCCAGGTTCCTGGCAGGGAGACACGCTGGGTCACTTCTGCCCAGTGAATGTGGGGTTTGCGGGGAGGTGTCTAGGATCGGGGGGAGCCAGTGTCCAACTCGCACACGCCCTTACCAGGTGGCGGCCGGCTGCAGGCAGACGTTGGTCACTGGCTCGCCTACAGGCAAGAGGATCTGGACGTTGGTGAGGGGCGTGGGCACGGCCGTGGCACCGGGCCGGTAGCCATAGTCCACGGAAACCTGGGTGTGCGTTGGGCCGCATTGCCACTGGGCGTTCAGGTGGAGTGGCAAAGACTGGGGGCCTGGGCGGGAGAACTGGAAAGGAAGGAAGGATGGGGG